AACAAAACATTTATTTGATTTACACTCTTAAAAGGCAGATTCAAAAGAAAAAAAAAATGCCCTAATTCATGGTTTTCTCCAATCTGTTCCAGGCTTCTCATATGTTAGTGCCCCCCGTATGGAGGAGGAGGAGGATGATGTGTTTGAGCCAGATCCCAACAGCTGGCACACACCATTCAGGGAGATAAAGTTTGAAGACCGGGGCACACAAACGCCCGGTCCTGGCGTGGCACCACATAACGTTATGCTGCCCTGTGGAGTTGTGGAGGAGCCCAGACCACTTTTCTACCGTAAGCTATTGACATGCTGTATTTCAATAGAAAAAAGGGGAACAACGCTTCGAGTGTGAAAACCAGTGTTATAAAACTAAAGCACAAATTTGTCACGTGCATATTGCTGTTAGAAATGTGTGACTGCGTTGCTGCACTGATCTTACCTCTTGGCGCCTGATAGTCGTCATTAAACCAGCTTTTATGGTCTGTATACAGTCTACCCAGCTGCTTTGCTATTCAAAAGGCGCCAATATGACTGAAGAGATGTGGCAGAGATGTTCACCTGTGCTGTTCAGACTGCTGATTATCAGTGATAGCAAAGTTACACAGGCATCATATACATCAGTCATACCAAAGTAGCTCCATAACAACTGACTGACTCTTACATGACTAATTGAGGAACTTATAAAACTATGTTGGTAATAAAACAACAGCTGGGAAAAACTTGTTCAGGCTAAGGGACACTGATCAGTGCTAAGCAGATCCTGGTTTCTATTTTTAAAAGAAGTCATGTATCATTGCTGCGTTCTGATTGTTTTAGCCACCATATAGCTATCTACTATACAGTAATAAGTATCGGCCTTGACACTCAACAGGTAACGCAGGTTTTCGATTGCACTTCCCAGCACATTTTGAGCTTGTCGGGGATTTTGACGTAAGGCGACAAGCGGAGCACAACAGGATGGAGCAGTTACCTTTGCAACAGCCGGCAGCACTCAGCTTGGAGGCCTGCATCGGGCAGAAACTTCAGATAATAGGCGACCAGTTTCACCGGGAACACTTACAACAGGTGAGGGGGTGAGGATGCACCTTAACTGTTGAGTCACTTAATTTTACTTTTATTTGATGTTCATACAGCAAATTCAACGCAACTAAGAATAAAAGAGCAGCTGAATGGATGAAAGGAAATCCAGGAATGCAGTTTATACAGCCAAGTAAAGAAGCTGCGTTCTTAAAGAAAGACAGTGACCTTATCCAAAAGTAGACTACCCCATGTTAACGCATTGTTCTATTTATCCAGTACCAATTTTTTTTCATCATCAAACCTTTAAACATGCATGAAATTGTTGGTTTATGTGTTTTCTTGACTAGAATATTAGCTTTGATGTATTTATTGAAAAGGGGAAAAAAAGTTAATGATTAGTTTGCCAATCAGTTGATTTTTCAAACTCTCGCTGATTGACTGGTCCCTCTTGATAGGAACTATTTTGTGGTTAATTTTGTGTAGTTTTGCCCATCTTAGTTTAACTAAAACCTCAGTGGCTGCTGCACATTTCACCCCCTCACTTTAGAGTGCTGCTGTAATTTAGCTGGCTTCAAAACCTGTTTTATGTAAGAAAAGGAGCAGTCCGAAGTGGCTATTCGATACTAACCATACATTAAATTTGTTGCCTCAATGGAGGAATATTCCTCTTCACTGTGTCCGGATTGGAGTGAGTTAAAATGAACTGTTTTAAAGCAGTTTTTTTTTATATTTATTCACAGTTTATTCACAATGTGATCATATCACTCAAATGTATAACATTTGAGGTATTGTTATTTGATCAGGCCTCTTATTCTGTCCTGTTTATTTAGTGTCAACTGACTCAAAAACAACATAAATGACAATGCACACAGTTTTTCTTAAAGAAAAATACATTTTGATAAACTATGTTTTGAGGGAACGTCAAATATTTTCTCTCACTAGTTATCAATATAATATGGTTCAGTATATTATAACAGAAACTTTATTGGAGTGGACCTAGGCCTAAAATTCACACTTTAACTATAACCTATACACTTTTTAATATTGGGATCTAACCCAAAAGGCAAGCTGGGTTAAGAGTTTACTCTCGTTTATTGTGATTGCTCTGTGTTTGTTTTAGAGAGGCTGTGCTCAGACACAGCTTCAGCCCTGTGCCTCATTGCCTCCACTTCTTCTTCCCTCAACCCACAGATCCCAGGACAGCCCTTCCCCCACCTAGTTCACCAACACCAGGCCCTTACCCTGCCTCCTCTTCCTGTTTATTTCTCTCTCCTTTCCCCTGTGGTCCCGTTGTGCTGTGGAGGCAAGTGGCATTGAGAATCCCTCACTTAAACAATACATCCTGTCCATGTAGTCGGTGTACCTCTTCTAATTGGGGTGGTGTTGTATCTTCAAAACATTTCAATATAGATCTACATATATATCCTGCTGAGTGCGAGATGTACATGCTTAGTAATAAACATAAACACATTTTGGTTTGAGCATGAAAAAGCAGAAGTTGCAGAAGTAGGTAAACATGTTGTAACCCCAAGCTCAGCACCCAGAGGGGAACAGCTGTGGTTCCGGGGAGCCTCCAGTCACATCTGTACTCTGCAACCAGCAGCCACAGATAAAGGTTCAACACAGCGTGAATAAGGGGTTAAATTCATAATCATGAATAACAGTGTCTGGATCGAAAATTAGACCTAAAAATGCATAAGTACCAGCCATCTTAATACGTAAGTACACCCCCCTTGGTCTTAGATACTCCAAAACCTTTCGTTTTTCACTTCACAATAAGAGGTGTGAAAGAGTTTCCTATTTTTCTCATAGGCTTATCTAATGGAGGTTATTTATGCTACCACCACAAAGGATGACTCATGTGTCCTGGCGAACACACAGAGAACCAGACAGTCAGACGGTCAATCTGCTGTAAAGTTTGGTTGTGGTCGGGATGTACTGACGCACAATGAAGGCTGGACCGTGTCAGGGGGATGAGGAAATGGCTTTTTCCCGCTCGCTGTAGTAGCAAACAAATGAGAGAGGAAAAGAAAGCCAGAATGAGAATGGATCTTTTGAAGTCACACCCTGCATGCAGATATTGTGATAGTAATGAGTTTATATGAAAGTATAATTTTGTGAGCATCTACTCATTTCTAACTTCCAAAGATAATTTTCCAGCTTTTGCAATGATATTATACCTATCTGTCATTTACTATGATTTTGTGTTATTATGTTGTTAAGTAAGTGTGTTGCTGCTGAAATGCTCAAATGATGTCTTAGATGCGTGTGTCTGTTTAATGTCTGTCTTTGGCACTGCTCCGCACCTTGTTATAGTGGGTGTGTGTATGGGGGGGCTGTACTTGTATTGGCAGCTGAGTGAGATAAAATTTATTGGATTTTACCAGTAAAGTGAGGACCTTTTTCTGGGCCTGGGGTTAGGTTTAACTTTTAAGATAAAGGTGTGAGTTAGGTTTAAGTTTCAGTAAAGGTTAGGTGTCTAATAGCTAGGGTTAGTTCAGGGTAAGGTTCAGAGTTAGGCCATAGATAGGTACTAAAAAATGCAATGGCAGTCAGTGTTGGGTCCTCACTAGGTATTTAAAACACGATTGTGTGTGTGCATGATATGCATGACTACACGCAGACTTGTTTTTCTGCTTATTGATGTCCCCTAGTCACTCCCATTCTATATAAAAATCAGGACAAAAACATTCAGTGGATAGTGACATTGATTGGTGCTTAGCCACTTTTCGACAGAAGGAAACTGTTCAAGGAGACTTGCTAGTTTTCTGTATCTTTTTTTTTTAAAACACTGCAGGGACAGAAAACAGCTCTTGTAGAGTTGTGGTACCTTATGATTTATCCTAAACCATTGATCACTTTTGTGGAAGAGGTTTCTTTCAGGCGACCCATTCTGTCAAAGTCAACCATTTTCAATGTTTTTCCTCTACATTTTTGTACTTCTATTGACTGCAAAAAAAAATACTATCCAGCCATATTTTTGGGTCTGGAAAACCCGCAGCTTATGTCACAATGAGCTGGCACTGTACCTCGACCTAGTTCCTCACATAGCAACACAAGGTCAGCCTGCTTCTTTATTAGAAGGATAGCACATTTGCTAAGCTGTTTTACAGCTGTTTGCACTCTACGATGGCTGCTAAAAGCAACAAATGTTTTGTTGTTGGGTAAAAATGTAGGGTCGTACCACTTTGCATTAGTTTGCATCCATTTTTATGTATATAAAGTGATAGTGTGTAACTTTTAGGTGGTGGATTTGGCCAGCTAGAGCTCCTTTGCATGAAAGTGACATCAGGGCGGCTGCGCGTCAGAGTTTTGCACGCACCAAGAAAATCTGACCTGAATCACTCATAAACTGACAAACGGAGGCAACTACCCTTAATAAAGGAAAGCCCATTTTAGACATTGTGCAATTGTAAGGACATGTATTGGTAAGAAAAATAATATTTGTAACTTTGAAAGTTACACAATCTACCTTTAATGCCCAAGTGAGGCCCAACAACTTTAGGAAAAAATAAATTTTAATGTTTTGATGACTATTGCGATATAAATCTTGATTGTGATTAACTTACATATTGTTTTACTCCTCTCTTTCCTATTTACCATCATGCTGACCCCACTACTCTTTTTCAGCTTTTATATATTGGGCATGAACATCTGTATCATCCATAGGCATGTATGCTATAAAAATAAATCCAGCAGGGCAATATGATTTTTGCCATTCAGGAGTTTATCACAGGGCATTCTACACTCAAGGAGCCCATTGCTACCGCAATAGTGTGCATGTTAAAATGGCATGATTACAATTAGATATATTTCACGGTACTTCTGGTCCTTACAGTAGAAGCCTACTTAATTGAATACCAGGGGAAATTGAAAATGTATATTTGGTTTGCATAGTAGAAGCAACTTTTGTCTAATTTCTGTCCTAATGCTCTGAATTACAGCCAACTTGTAAAGCATTTTTTTAGTGCAGATGCGAGTCTCTGAGCAATACAAGTGCTTTTGACTGCCATCGCATTGATGAGTTTTTTTAGCAGTGTGGCTGCAAGTGTTCTCTATGGGAGCCCATCGCCTCCAGGTGAAATAAGGGATTAGGCAGCACTGGAGTGCTGGTGGATGCTGACAGATAAATTGCTCCTCAGTCACAGAGGGCCTGAAGGGACCCTGAGGTCCCCTAAGGATGGCGGACATTAGCCAGACCAGCCATTTGAGACACGGCAGTAATGACAGTCACAATGGCAGGAAGACGGCTCCAGCCTGCACAGGGCAAGGAGCAGAGTCGGGTTTCATCCCCATGTTTTTTTAAGAGAGACAACTCGCAATGCTTTGGATCGAAGGTGTTGAAAGCAGGGTTGAATATCATTTCTGACAGTTCTTGTAGCTGTGTGTGGTGACTGTGTGTGCATGTTTGTGCTGTTTTGGGCTTTATCCAGCACTCTCTCAGTTTAGCACCTAATGAAAAGAAGGAAGGGGAATTGGTTGACATAAAAGCAAGTTCTTCTATCTTTAACTTTTGATATGTTTAGGTTTCTCTGTTTAAAAATATTGTTTGTATTTTACTTTGGACTCTCTCCTTGCTAATATGACTAATCCAGCGTTTCGTGCTGCAGAGGCTGGTTTGTTTACTTGAGCGATAATGCAGTGCTTCTGAGCAGCTGGCTTGATGGACAGCCTGGAAACTGATAAAGCACATCAGGGTAGTGTCAGAGTGACGACACCAGGACTCTGGCTAGACTCTTGTGCTCTATCAACCAGCTAAATTTAGAGACAGACGCCTGTTAACAGTTGGCAGCGTGACACTGAGTATGCTGTGACAACACCTCTTTTGTCACTCTTACTCTTTCTCGCTGCTTATTTATATGAATGCTTCTTGACTCAATAGTAGAATATTTGTTTTCTGTAAGGAAAGAGCAAATGCTTCTTGTGTAGTTTGGAGGAAATCATGGTAAATTCCTCACCACACACATCGCTGTTGCTGCCTTTGGTAACAAACACTCAATGTTTGCCAATAAATAAATTGTACTTAAGTGTTACACCATACAATTTAGTTTCAATAAAAAAAAAAACTTGGGGTTCTGCACATTGTCTACCAAGTTCAACCATGCCCCAAGCTTCAGTTGAGATCATCTACTATGTGTAACATGTTTTCCCTTATCAAAATATCCCCTGGCAAGATTTAGGTACAATATGTAACTTGTATCTTGCTAGTGCCTTTGTAATATTTTGTAGCCTTTTCTTGTTTCCTTTGGAGCAAATAAGAATAGAGGAGTGGTAAAGCTAGATTAGCTCATGCTAGCTAGAACATGGCAAAGCTTATGCAACACCATGCAATGTTCACTACAGGCTGATAAGCAAATGCAAGCCCTGGAGTCTTATCACAGTAGCAGCGCTTTTAACTGGGTCAAGGTCTGGACATCTTGTTGAGACATGCACAGTCCCTTTCAAAAGTTCATACAGATACTTGCTCACATTCTATTTTTTTACAAATCCAAACTCAAGTGTTTTTATTTCGATCTAGTGAGAAAGAATATCAAAGCACACTGGATAATTGTAAAGTGGTTTAATGTTTTCAAGGAAAATGTTTGTTCTGATACCCCCAAATAACATCCAGTTCAACCAGCTGCCTTCAGAAGCCTCCTAATTGGTTAATAAATAATACCTGTGTGTAATTAATCTTGAAACAACAAAACTTTTTTTTTTTCATTGCAAAGAAAAAGAGGTTAAAGAACATTAGTGTACCAAAAGCTTTATGAAAGTTTTTGTACATTGCAGATAGGTCAGGTATAAATTTATAAAAATAATTTAAAGCAGAATGTGGTTATAAAACAATAGTTCAATCTGTAAATGTCTTGCTGAGCATTTTAAGTCCATTAGGGTAAATTAAAAAAAAGTATAGCAAAACTGGAAACCAATCAACATGTGGTTCACAAACCTAAACTGCAGCTTAGGCAGCTTAGATGAGAGAGTCTATTTATACAACTGTTAGTCACACTCTCCAAAAAGGACAAAACTTGCAGAAAAACAAATTTCTCAAGCAGTCTTTTATGTGGTATGCCACAAGACATGCAGGGGAAACTGCACAAATATGCAAGAAATTGCTTTGGACAGATGACAATTATGTTTAACACAATCAAAGTGCCAAGGCAGAAATGTAGAACACCAAGAGTAGGTCCTTCGAGCAGGACCCTAAACCTACAGCCAGACCTACATTGGACTGGTTTCCATCAAATAATAGTAAGGTTTCACAAAACAGTTAAAGGCATTTAGGACCATTTTGAGTTCTGCATCTGTTTTTGTAAAAGAAAAGGGAGAGGGGTAAAAGTCAGGTTTCCTCTTTTCATCTCCTGACTTCGCTTTAATTAGATAGCTTTTTAAGAAGCAAGTCAGATTTGGGTAGTCAGGTGTTGTAGCTGTGAGCAGCCTAGAGATTGAAGTGTTAGAAAGTGAGTTTTGTCATTTAAATCAGAACCCATTTGTAACTAGATCACTTAGCTAGGTTTGCCCATCACTATTTTGTACCGACCAGATGTAGGGTTTATGCAGTGTTGACAATGAAACCATGGGACGCCCCCTTCATTCCTCTCTTCCTGTCCAATCTAATTAAAAAATCATCTTTCTCTATCTCTAGTTTAAGTCTTTATAGCTGAAGAACATTTAGGTCATACAGTTTGCCTACTATGGACTGAAAATAGGCACAGCATTATCAGGCGTAAAAGAGCCTGCACTTCATCAACAGGTGAGCTCATATACTACTGTAGACGTCTTGCAGAAGCATCTTTTTTTCTTTTTTTTTTTTACCCCGAGAGACTTTCTGGCCCTCATTAGGAGCCTCTAATCCCATTTTGTGCAATTATCTAATCTCAGGTTCTCAATGGGTGAGATAGCATTATCCTCCCTAATCGTGCACAATCCAGTTGGCTTGCAGACCTAAGAGAGTCTTGTCTTTGGTTGCTGGCTGCTGGTCTCAAGCAGCAAGATTAGAAAGAAGTGTGATTGTATAATGAATTTGATTATCGCTTGGAATGTTAGGAATATTAGGAAGAATCAATTGGCTCACTTCACAGCCAATATAAACTAAACACAACAGTGAAGACAAAGTAATGAGTTTTTATTGTTCTTCATTAGGATTCTGAGTTGGTAGACTGCACTAACGACCAAATGCTTCATCTGTGTTTGCTTTTTCAGTATCATCAAAACCAAAGGAATCAGGGGCCGCTGTGGTGGCGCATGACTGCAGCTCTTCTCAGCCTCCTGTTTGATAGGGGGTTGATTGGTGGAGCAGGATGGAGGTGAGGGAGTTTCTCCACATATGTCTGCTGTCTTCATCTCTGTGGTGAAGAACTGGAAGCACCTGAAGGCACTGTCCAATCTAACACGGGTCTGTTTGAGAGAGGAAACAAAGGAGGGAAAAAAGTCACCGCGGGACGGTGACAACTAAGTTTTATACAAGGGCCTGTTTTTAATTTTCTTTAAAAGAAGATGCCATGTTGCTTCAGGATTCATCTTAAGGACAATGTTTATATTTTGGCCTTCATGCCATCTAGTCTTCTTGTACAGTACATTGATTTTGTTATTTTTTGCACTTCGGCATGTATCCTTCCTAAAAGACCTGACCTCCACAGACTTTGTTAATGCCTTAGTCAGTGTCTTCTACCAGAAGGAGAATTGAGGGTTTTTTGAAAAATAAGATGAGATGGTGCAACAGATTCTTTTTGACCAGTAAAGTTGATTTACTCATTTCCAAAGAGGCCACTTCTCAGAACAAAGTATTTTGCACCTCAATGGGACATTTATCTATTTATCTTTTCTTTGTTTTTTTTCCCCTCTTATTTTCTGTGCTTTGATATTAATTTTAACCCTACATATCTTGTAGAATTTCAGGAGTCAAGTTTCTGTACATAAACAGTTGGCACACTGTAAAATGTTATCAATGTTTAGTCGTGTGCTACATGTCAAACATTTGGGACTAATTGAACTTTATGAGGAAGGGAGTTGGCTGTGCTTAGCAACACTACCTGTTTAAACAAGTATGGTCATTCCAGCAGACCTGACAAACAAAAAGAAGACTTAAATATCAGATGTTATGCAGATGGCGCTATTTTGTGTTTGAAGAACTGAAGAGTTAATGTAGCAGTAAAGCAGCTCGATAGTGGATAAATAACACTAGTATCAATCGGTTACAATTGCTGGAGTGTCAGACAAGCAATTTGACATGTAGCATTAGTTAACATTTTTTAGGATTTTGTTTTGCTATACTTGTAGCAACATTAAGTTCTTTGTTCTTCTACTTGCAAAGACATGTTTAATAGCTTTCTTTGCATGAATACTACCCTTGTTTAGCCCCTCCTTCTAAAATTTTTTCTTTTATCTGAAACATTTATATCTTAAACGATTTTGCTCCCTATTGACCGGACTTCCAATAACATTAGAAAACAGTTTCTGTCAATGTAACTGACATTTTTTAACACTGATGACACCGACTAGACCATGGTTACCTGGGCAGATAGCAAAGTCACCCAAAAAAACTGCCACTTGGTATCATAAGTATTAAATAGATATTTGCCACCTGTCTGGTTTGTAAAATTTGTTGCTGTACGGACAACTAAGAGACGTCTGAGATGTAGCACACTGTATATATATATATATATATATATATATGACAGAATTAATCGTATTAATCGATTATTATCAACTAATTCCGTAATCTATTAATCATTAACTGGAGTGTAGAGACTCTAAAACGTGTCTTTAGCTGGCAGAGAGACCCAGTTATACCAAAATTGTTGTAAAGAAAACATATAAGCATTCTGAATTTAAGACAAAAAAACATTTTCATCTATCAATATGTTCTATCAGGAACGCCTCAAGTGGTAAAGTGCTATACGATTATTATTCTATTAATCAAATTGCAAAATAATCGTTAGTTGCAGCCCTTATATATATATATATATATATATATATATATATATATATATATATTTAGTGCACCATGCACTAAATGAATTAAGCACACTGTCACAATGCAATTTGGCGTTTAATGTATAAGTTCACCAGAAATAGCATTATTTTTTGTCCAGCCTTGTTCTTAGGATTTCCCCTTTATTTTATGTGTTCTTTTTATGTGTTTTCAGACCTCCATGCCCTTTGAGTGGAGCTGTGGATCCACTGTTTTTGCACTAGATTTCCACCCTTGTAGGAGTTTAGATTGTTTCCTAGCTAACCTCTTTTTCATATGAAGGTTTTTCAGTCACGGCTTGTCTCCTTGCCACCACATTTCAGATGTGTTCACTCATACGGCCAAGACATATAATCAGTATTGAGACCTGACTGAGTAAAGACAGTCTGGATTTGACATCAGTTCTGAAAATTTCACTTACCAGTGTTTCAGGGTTAAGCAAAAGCAACTCTTTCACAGAAGACCAGCTCTGAATACAAAGTTTCTATGGCACAACCAGTCTGTGAAACCGAATCTCTTCCTCTCAGGATATCCTTGTGTGGTTTCTCGACTTTTGATATTCTGTTGGGTGATCCTACCTTGGCTGTGGTACTCGGAGATTTGGAACATGGGTACACACATAAGCACCACTGGCTCAGCAGACAAACTGTCTCTGAAAAGAAACAAAACTGAAAAGTTTGTAATTATTGTTGAAATATGAATACTTATAAAGACACTGTTAAAGATTTTTGTTTGGTAGGATTTTTATTTTCATGCTGAATCTTTTGGACCCGAGGAGCAGTACATATCAGGGGTCATTAATTACTTGCTCCTTACAATGTATCCAGTTTATCACTGCATAATTAGTGTCTCATTTTCTCTCTAAGATGTCTCAGGGACAGACTTTTTGGGCTACTGGTAACCTTGAGAATCTGTTACATGTTTTAGAGAAAAAGCAGTGTTTCCACCCATTTATTTATGTTGGAACCTTTTAAGGTGTTTTTAAGTCTTTTTGTTGTTGTTTTTATCGTTTCTTTTATATTTCTTACAGTCTATTTCTAGCACACACATATACAGGTACAGTTTGAGGAGACTGAGGCTAACTTGCTGTGGATGGTTGTGACAGGGGCTTCTGAGTTTGCAGTTATAGGCAAGCGAGGTGCACTGAGTGAGGTCATGGTAATAGTTTCCTGCGGATCCTGAACACTGAGCCAGTCCCTACAGCGCCTCGTCTCACCGTTGGCCCTTGACATCCTCCTCATACTTCTCCTGCATGTTATGCTTTTCATTCAGTGCTTCATTTAATTTGTAATTTATTTTTTTTGCTTTTTATTTATTTTTGGTATGTTTTACCAATTTCTACTGTATACGCTTGTGTGTGCAATCATTTCTTCCTCTTTCTGTTTTCGATTTTAGACTTGTAAATGTCTCAGCTTATGAGAAATTGTGCCTGACCTTCCAGTTTTTTAGATAGTGTTGTTTATTCTTCATTGCCTGTAAAAACTGGGAATTTAAGTTTGTTACACAGCAGGATGCACATTCTTATTGCTTTTCACTGTCAGACAGGAGTTAATTGTCGTATACTATATGTTGTTGCTGAAATTAACTATGAAGCGAGAAACTACATACCATAATTTAAGCAAGTATGAATGTGTCACTCAAAACATGAATCTGATTGTGTGGGGGGGTGAACCTTAAAATTTTCCGATTTAAAAATTCATGTTTTATGGAGTCCAACAATGCAGGTCCTGTAACGCAGTGCAATCCATCTATTAAAAGAAAATGGTCAACAGAAACTGCCCATCGCAAATAATACCCTGGAAATTGGAGAAAGTATAAAAACATTAATGTTTCCTATTTACACAAATAACAGAAGGTATGTCTACTTAATCCCGTTCATTGTGTTGTAATCAGTATGCACTGGAAAGTACTTTGTTTTTCCCTGTAGTGTTTTAATGTATAGTATAAACTGGATTGTTTTTCATGGGCTAATCTGACCGTGTGTCAGCTCTATCTTTGTGCATTATGAAGGTTCAGGTTTAACAGTTTGTTGATTTATTGAAAGGGAAACAAGCCACCATGATGTCCTTATGTTTTTTTAAGGGGATGTTTCCCAAACTGTGCTCACCATTTTTTGTGAGGTCCATATTGACAGGTACCTTTCAGAAACCAACAGTGTCTTGAATTTTGTTTTTCAGCTTTATATAAAATTGAACTTGCTTTTTTGAAGAAGAAGACATTTTTTGACTTTTTTTACTATAACATTTATACTTTGGGATCTTTCTTAACTTTTAAAAATGTATTTTCTTAAGAAAAATTGTCTTTTTTTGAGGTAGACAGTTGTTTCTTGTAACAGTAATTTTTAATACAATCAGCATCATTATAGAGTCTGAGATCAAAATAATTTTTTCATGAAATTAAAGGTATAGTGGAGGATTTTCCCAAAAAAAAAAAAAAAATGCACATGCACAACCCTGTACCCGCTCCCGAAGGGGAAACACCTATTTAACATGTGCAAGAGCATGCACAAGCCGATTTCTCCTTGTGCATGCTCTGTTTAAAAGTTGCTCTTTGCATCACTCATACAAGCTTTTTTTTCCAAAAGAAGACTTGCGATTTTTCTACTATGTCAGACTCACAACCAGTAAGTAAAAATATGGATGAGCTCGTAGGACAGCCTCATGTAAACATATCACCAGAATGATTTACAATTAGGAGGACCACTTATTTTGAGGATCCACCCAGAAAAAGAACATCCTCCACTATATCTTTAACTCTGAACATTCCTTGCACATCTTACTGTCATTTAGTGAACTTGGGCCAAACATTACAAGGGTTGATTGACTTGACTCCTGAACCTGTTGCTATAAAATGTTTGCCTGTCTTTACAGAACGTATAGCTGACCATGTAGTTCTAAAATGAAAAACCCCTGAATATGCCTTTAACTGCTCAGTTTCAATGAAGTCTTGATTATCACACACTCTCTGTATACCAAGAAATGAGACCCAGCGAAAATGTAGCATTTTTGTAAACATTGACTGTGTGTTTTCGAGACTCTACTGTGCACTCTTTTTATTTTGTGTTTTATATATATATTTCTCTGGTTGTTAATATTCATATGGAAGTAAAGACAATTTGTTATGTAGTGCAATATGCTGTATATACAGAGTTTGCTCTACAAAATGTTTTTTTTTTTTTCTGGATATTTCGTTGTTTATTGGTACTTTTTTCAATAAAATCTTATGGAAGTTATGAAACTGTGTCATGTTCATGTTATAATATTGCCATACGAAGTTATTTACATCACCTAAGATTTTTTTTTATCTCTCATATTGCAAAAACACATTTCACACTATTTTTATTTGGGGATGAGATGATATACCAAAGTAAAATAAAATAAGTACATAATAGTGAAGTGAGCCAATGATTTCAGTTAGTTTAAAAGAATATTAAATATCAGCTACCTATAAGGGGACAATCTTCCCCTTCATATTTTTGTTAATTAGTTGAGACTTGTCATATTTGACCCAGACTAGCTTTTGCTTTTCAAACTGAAAGTATATGCTACATCATTTCACCGTAATCTATTCATGAACAAGTCATGAAAAGCTTCTTCCCCACCCTCATCAGCCAGCTGAACTGTTGAGAAAACTCTAAATCTTTGCACCATACATATTTAATGCACTGAACTTCCATCATAATGCATTTTTTTCTCCCACACTGTTTACACTTGATCACTGCTGCACTTTAAGAAATGGAAAATGGAAACAACATTTAGTTTTTGTGACAAACCATTACCAATTAGGAGAAGTTTCCTAACTTGATTGTTTTTGGGAAAATCAAGGTAAATTGAGATTGAATCCATATACACAATACACTATAGCTTTTTAAACAGAAGTATGAATATTCCTACAAAATTGTGTGCACACATAAAATCCTAATAAAATAGTTACATTGCAGTTTTTGAAAAAACTTTAAAAGGTGTCAATAGATATGTTGACTGGGCCATGGCATGCATCACAGTTAGTCTCACTAGTTGAAAAAGTTTCCTTCAGCAAAATATACTTTCTTTTTTACTTCAATACCAATTTGTCTTAGTCTAATTTGTCCGCACAGAAAAAAAATGTTGCAGTACAAACAGGTCCCCCTTTCTCTTGCTTGTAAGTCTTTGTGCTGTCACTTAATTTGAAGAAGCTTTTTACAATGCATAGTCCACTTGCTTAAAAAGTGTCTTTGGGCCTGCAAAGCCTTTTAAGCCAACCAAGACTCTGCATATCATTTGTATCAAAAGCACAGTAATAAGTGTGTTAGTTTAGCAGGGCTTCCTAAAGTCTCTAATATCTCCTGTCTAAACAATACACATGTGCAGACACTGTACCCAAACTGCATCACAAGTGAATAAGCTTACATGTAGACTGAATAATAGGAGTTACTGTCACATCTTCAAAGGTTAAGGCTGACCTGCTGAGCCCATAGTAACACTTTGGCCTCAGTGCCTGAAGCACACAGATGAGATTTAAAACTACTGACACATAAATATAAGGAAATTACTAAGTCTCATAACTATGTTTTGGATGTATTATAAGAACATTTTTCAGACTTTAAGTCCATTCCTCTCTATGGACTGTGCTGACAGCAATCCAGGTGAAGGTATATGCACTTGTAATAAGAGTTCTGTGCTTTTCTCTCACTATAGCAGACAGTCTACCATCTCCTCAGGGCTGACGCGTGGCGCTCATATTGTTGTACTCCAAAGGTAGAGTTTCACAATTAAACCACACCTGACTCACCTGTTTGGCTGCTTACAGCAGTAGAACTCTTTTGCCTTCCGGCCCCCCTGACAAAAGAAATGCTGTACACAATGAGCATGCCAAAGGATGTGGTTGAAAACTGAACAACAACTGCTATCCCAGTCACAGTTGACTTGGTGTTCACAACTGCAGAACCCCAAGTTTAGACTTTAAGCTTGAATAGAAGAGAACAAGAAGTTCTT